CTGAAGACTGGGACTGAGGGGCAAGGTGGGTGGGGGTGGGGCTGTGAGGAGCTGGCTGCTGGGGAGTGATTCCATGGGGCTGAGGAGATCCGAGGAGATGCAGCGGGGGGAGGGGAGCGAAGGGCTCTGCGAAGATTCGCGGTGGCAGCGTCTCAGGACGTGTGAGGTAATATAGGGCCCCTGAAGAGAGACAGGGTGCAGCGTCTGGTGATAGGAGAAAACCTGAGGCGCTTGGAAAGGTCTGGGTGCACAGTTTCGGATATATGATGGGATTGGGAGGCTTTGATGAAATTGAGGAAACCTGGGGGTGATAGGAATTTGGGGCGGGGGACAAGATATGAGATCAAAGGAGGGAGTTTAATTGCTAAAGAGAAAGGGCTTTCCAGAGCAGGATCTGAGGGGATTGAGGGCTGAATTCGTGGGAAAATCAGTAGGCAACAGTATCCTATTAGTTGAAAGGAGAGAAACGGCAAAGGTTTGAAAGCAGTACATGAGGTTGGAAGGAGGAAGGAGTAGGGTTTGAGGGCGGCACAGCGCCTGATAGAATGCAGGGGATGGGGGTTCAGATTGACACGGCAGAATAGAGGTGTTGAGCTGGGATGCAGGATTGAAGGTTACAGAGATTTGAAACAGGGATTAAAGAATATGTCGGAGGGATTTGGGCCCATGAGTGAATAATAGGTGAGGGTTGTGAGGTTGCAATATATAACTCAAAATTCTAAATTGTAAGAGGTTTTGGGAACAGTGTTTAGAGAAGACTGAATGGTGGAATAGGGATGCCTTAACTGGGCCATGGAATTGAAGGGCTTTGGGTAGATTTGTGGGTTGGTTTTTTGGGCTCCTAAAGGAATTTTCTTGACCTCCTTGCTTGGAAAGTGGGAGGAGTTCTGGGGACCCAAGGACCTAAGAGTTACCTATGAAACTTTGTATGAGTGTGTGAAGTTAAACAGAGTTCATGGATTTAGGAATAAAATCATTCACATTCCCTGTAAAAGGCAGAGTCTTCTTCATTTATTAACCAGAATCCTTTATCCTAAGATAGGCATGAATGGTATTGCCACTAGATTCTTTAGCCATCCTGCTCTTTCCACTGCCTGCTGAAAGTGTTGGGCTTTGGAGAAGATGGTCAGAGCTAGAGAGGGAAGGTAGGAAGTTATTCAAGGTTATCTACCTACCCCTCCCTTTCTCTATACCCCCAAGTTGTGATATAGTGGATGTGTGAGACTTGTGCGGGAATGAATGAAACATTAATCCTATAAGGTTTGTTATAGCTCAAAGAGCCAGTGGCTCTGTGAATGAAATGTTTGGGCTGAGAGAAAGACAAAAGCCAGAGGGACTCATGTATTTGTGCCTTCAGACCTATGCCATGTTCTAAAATAGTATTTCTTAACCAGGAGTAATTCTGTCCCTCAGAGGACATTTAACAATGATTAGAAATGTTTTTAGTTGTCACAGGTGGTGAGGTACTACTGGCCTCTGGTGGGTAGAGAACAGAGACACTGTTATATTTTACAGTGCATGGAAGAGCCCTCGAAGCAAAGTATTATCTGACCACAAGTGTCAGTAATGCCAAGCTGAGACACCTTGCTCTGCAGTCAGATATTCTGGGTTCAAATCCTGGCTCTATCTTTTCCTGATTTTGTGGTCTTGAGCGAGTTACTTACCTTTTGATGCCTTGAATTAATGGCAGGATTTAAGATACTGTGAGGATTTAATGAACCAAATCAGGGAACCCAGTGTATAGTGCATATAGTAAGTGCTCAAATTTCACTAATTTTTAGTTTTTATGATCATTTTCTTTGTTTTGTTTTAAGAGATAGGGTTTTTGCTATGTCATTAAATTGCCCAAGCTGCCTCTCATTCAGTTTTCATAAAAGCCCATTTATATCTATATCTAGTTTGGTGACATAGTAATGCCAAAATTAAAACTCATATCCAGACCCTTATAATGTATATTTTCACCTTTTTGTTGCTTTTTTGGTGGGGTCTGCTTAGTCTTGTTTTCTCAGCCTATTCGCCTCTTAATGAAGAAGAGGATGACCCAGTGGGTATCTTTTAATATCAAAGTGAATTCTAAAGGGGTGGGGGTAAATCTCTCTGTTTGGGTAGGGAGGAGCCTTGGACTTGGTTCTTGGCTTGCCCTTAGACCAGCACCAGTGGGATAGTAAGGAAGAGGACCTTGAGGTTAGCAGGTCTGATGAGGTACAAGGCCTATAAGATGAGGCCATTGGCTCCAAAATACACCATACAGCAGATCTCAGGCCAAAGGCAGTTGTACTGAAGGAGAGTAACTACTGTCCTATATGATGTCCTTTGGTCTTCCTTCCTCTGTGACGGAATAGTAGCATTAGCTCTGTCAGCAGAAAGACTAGGTAGGTATAGTATTTTCAAAATTACTTTAGAAACAAACCTGGACGAGACTTAGTTGGAATTGCCACACACGCTCCTGACAATAATGTGTAATGGGAATTGAGTTAGCCTTGAAATCAGAAGCTTGAAGTCTAAACTCTTTACTTTGCTGCTTATTTTCTATGTGACCTTGATCAAGCACTTGTCCTGTGAGCCTCAATCTATTAAAAATACAAATAGGTGTACTTTCTGAGTACTTATCTCAATAAATTCTGCCCACAATTTTGCCAGAAATCTCGTTGTTATTTCATATAGCTGAGAAAACTAGTAAATTAAATTATTTAACCTAGGGTACAAGGGGTTAAGGAAGAATGCAAAACCTTGCTCTGTTTGACTCCTGAATTACATTATTTAGCTTTAATAGAACTTTTCTAGCACTTAATCCCCTATGCCTAAACCCGAGTAAGGTTGGAAGCTAAAAGTTTACAAGGTTCTTGAAATGGATCATCTAACTTGCACACACTGATGTGCTTCCTTTGTAACACTCCCTCCATTATGTCCTTTGGTAGAAAAATCAGGTTTAAATATTATTCCTAGATGTTGGGACCTGCCCCTCCGCCAGACTGTGCCCAGAGGTAATGATAGTCTAATCAACTAGGTAAGCTTAACACATCTGTGTCAGTCTGGTTTTATGGCTGGTTTCATTTACACATTGGCATTTTGGTCAGTTTTCTATTAACCAGTTTTTAGGCCTTAAATAGGTTGCTTTTCTCTGAGCATTGTTTTCCTTATTTGTAAAGATAAATAACATTGTTCACATAGTTTTAAGAATAAAAGTGATGTACCAAAAGTTTCTGATATTCAGTAAATAAAAGTTGTTTTATGAGAGGTTGCAATTACAAGATAAAGGTAAAGCTGAAAGGGACCTAAGTGTTGCTTTGCCACATTTTTGATAACCCTAATGGTGTTTCTCAGCATTTTCCAAATTCTTATCCCCTCTATTATTCCCAGTATCTGCTTCTTAATCCTTTAATTAAAAAAATCTCATGATTAGAGCTGGAGATGTAGCTCAGTGGTAGAGGGCTTGCCAAGGAGGTCCTGAGTTTAATCCATAGTACTGCAAAAACTAACCAAATAGAAAACAATTTGTGATTAAATGATCACATAGTCTATTTGGAAAATGAACTATTAAAGGAGTTGAATGAGGTGAATTATAAATCCCTTGGGAAAAGGCTTGGATTTTTTTTTCTCCCTTACATTCTGTGAGTCATGTTGACAGCATGGGTAGTATTCAAATGTGATGATCACAGGAACTTTTTTTTAAGGTATTTGAGATTGATTCTAGGGCTCTGAGCTACTCCCCTAGTAAAGGAAAACATTTTAACTCTTTCAGCAAGCTTTTGGGATAGACAGAAACAGGCAGACATTTTTTCCAGTAAGCCCTATTTTTGCTTTAACTTGAACTTAATTTAGCCAAAAGTTTCCTTTTCCACAAAAATATTTTCTTCTGGTTTAAGTGTCCCATAATGGTACAACTTTGGGGACATGCCAGTGTCTTCCTAAGCTTTGTGCAGGTGCTTTAAATGCCCTGACTGGGTACATATCAAGAGATAACCTCACTGACTTCCTGAAAATCAGTCTTGCTAGTGAGTGACCTTTGTGGCATGGAAGTGGTTAACATTCTGTTAACAATGCATGAGGGTCTAAGCATGGGTG